AACCTTTCTGCTGTCATTTGAAGCAGGGACTGTTTGGCGGTCTGTTCGATCACTATATGTAACGGTGTGAGCTTCAGCATTACTTCCAGTGTTGCAGTCGGACACGTACGCATCGCGCCCGACGCGCAGATGCAGGCAAGTCGTTACAGTTTCGATAGTCGAAGTCCTACCGAAGTCTGTAATGCTTTGGAAACCCAAGCCACCGCTCCATATCTTATGAACGGTCTTACAATCATGGTGTACAACCATCTGATAATCCTTGGGTTGCAGCCCCATGATTTCCCAGCAAGTCGATTGCACACCATGAGCGCTTTCGTAACTTTGACCAAGGTCAGGTCCACATGCTGCTTCCACCGTAGAGTAGATTCCAGCGTGAGGCCCAGGTACTTGACCGTGTTAGCCATCTCCAGCTCCATGCCGTTTAGGGATAGGTTTCTGAGCACTGGCAATAACCTGCGCCTGGTAAACAGTATGATTGTAGTCTTTGAGGGGTTGATGTTTAAACCAACCCCACTACACCATCCCATTGCCAGCCCCAATCCCCTTTGTACAATATCGCAGAGAGTGTCTGCGAACTTACCCCTGGCTGAAATACAATATCGTCTGCATATCCCTGACAGCGGATTCCATTGCTAGTTAGCCGCTCAAGGAGATCGTCCACAACTAGGCTCCAAAGTAGGGGAGATAGCACTCCGCCCTGTGGACAGCCTCTCGTTGTGCCAAGACGAATCTCGGTATCGCGTACTGTGGTTTCAGCTATTCTGGTGCGCAGTACGGCTTCAATCAATCTGCGCACCGGTGCCGACACACTCCTTTTCTCCAGTGCTCTTGACAAGCTTTCGTGAGACGTATTGTCAAAAGCACCTTCGAGCGAACTTCGGATCTCAGAGGTTAGCTGATACAGAGCAGTATTGGTTGATCTGCCTGCTCTGTAAGCATGCTGCTTCGCGTGTAGCGGTGCAGCCTTCAGCACCTTCGATCTTATTTCGTAATCAATGATATTTTTCATACTTTTAAGTAGGAAGGTAGTTAGACTTATTGGCCTAAAGGATTTTACCAACGAATAGTCTTTCCTTCGTACCTTGGGTATGAAGATCACCTTTTCAGTTCGCCAAGGTTCCGGGATATATGCCAGCGCTAGGCTATCCCTCATCAGCCGAACAAGTAGGGCAGTAGGACCTGCTCCCCCTGTTGCAGAAACGTTGCAAGGATGCCATCCGCACCCGGGGCGTATTTTTCAAAGGAGGCCAAAGCCCACTTGATGGAGTCTGCAGTGAAGAGCTGTTTTGCGACTGTCCAATCTAAGCGAGATGGCTTTCGTTCGACCATGGGTCGAATCTAGTCTTCTTGAATTGTCTCCGGAAAGTGCGCGATTAGAAGAGCCGTGGCTCTTTCCTCTGCGCTGAACGTAAAGTCCCATCCGATCTTTTATTGCTTGTACTGTGTCCGTCTTGCCGTTTACCAGAGCCTTATGCAGCCTCTGGCGTTGAGGAGACGCTTTCACTGAACTTCCTGAAGCTCTTCTGCTTTGCTGACCTAATCTCTTTGTTGTAAGCAGTTAGGCTGCACTTGTAATTCTCCCAGTACCCGATACGCTTAGCCTTGTTAAATAGCTTGCGTACCGTTTTCAGTAGTTCTGAGAGCCTACTTGACCACCAGGAACAGCTACGGTTCTTGTTGGTCGTTTTTAGGGGGCAGCTGTCATTAAATGCCTCTATAATGGACTGGTTTAGTGCAGACAACCTGCTCTCCAGTACAGAAGTATGCCAATATCGGATCACTATAGCATACAGCTGCCATACAAACTTAACAATCGGAAGCAAGTCTTTGTATGGGAAACTTTTTTAATTGCTGTAATATCTTCACGAAATTTGGAATGAGTTATTTTCTAAGGCAAAAATGTAATTTTCGAAGAAATTGTTTATAATATAGCGTTGAAATTTTTTCAGCATTCCTTTCAGTTTAGAAAATATTGGGATTCGAAATTTATATCGGCTGCTGTATCAAGTAAGCTGTGACCCACTGTATATTGTTAATCTTTAAGTCATATTTAAGTGTAAAATGAATTAATATGCTAATTTTTTTTTATACCACAATATAAATGCATATTTTTTTGAAATAAAATAAAAAATATTAATTTTATAACAGTAAATAAGTTATATGGAGCTAAATGGTAATATGGTAAATTTCGGGGCATGCTATTCTAAAATATATCCTAAATGTATTTAAACTCAACAATTTAGAGTGTGTAATTTATTTTTTATTTAAAATGAGCTTTTAAATTTTGAATGAATTTCCTCTATCCGACCGTACCCATTTCAACCCCAAATTCGGGGGGATGTTATTCTAAATCTCAGCTGCGTAAAATGTGATAAAGGATTTTTAAAAATCCATATTGTAGTTGTAGCGGTTATCTCATCCCGGTTGTATGGAAAGGTTCAAGTTGAAATTCATAAAAGTATACGGTAGATTTTTCGCATGGGGCCTTTGAATTCGGAGTTCTCCTACTAATGACTATAGTGGGCCAAATAATTTTGGAAATATGTTGTTTGTTTTCCGCCAATAAAAATTAACTATTTATATGTTTCAATGAGCATAGTTTAATGATAAATAAAGAAAGTGGAAAACTATATAGTATTATTACTCTGCTCTGCGTAAACATCTATCATTCAGTATTTTAATTCCGAATCTCTGTGCATCTATTCTCCAAATACACTTTCTAACATTTCATAATATTCAGAACGAGTAACTTAAATTAGTGCAATACAAGTGAGATAAATATAATCCACTTAAAGAAATTTTAATAAAATTTAAATTAGGTATCTAAACTTCTATGTTATTTTTTTTTTGTATGGATGGTGTCAAATAACTACCGCATTATTATAAAAGTGTATTATTATTAATGTATTCGAGAAATAAGGAAAAATATTTTTGAAAGTAGAAAGATTACTCATCATATTTCATTTGAACTATGTATATGGTGCGGCAACACTTTCTCTATGATGTAACTTAAATACATCTATTCTTGTGTTCTATTCGATTTATAATGAACTTTCTTGTTTTGTGACAAAATTCCGATTTCTTTGGCGCCACGATCTGCGTGTATGTTAGAAGTGGCTTTCGTTTTTACCAGTATGAGAACCAAGGAATTGAACTTAAGATCTTACCGGTTCCTCATAGTGTATCTAAGAAAAAAACCGCCTTGTTCGTTAGCAACAATCAATACTTGTATATATAAAAGAAATTCGTATTAGTTACACTATTTATAACTCAATATGGCTGAAATTTGGTGGAGAGGCAGCTTAGAACCAGGAGACGTACATAGGATGCTTTTTATCTTTTTATGTTAAAAGTAAATACAATTCAAAAATTATATTTAAAATCATAAGCATGTTCAAAATTCATCTAAGAATCATTTGAATATTTTATTACTTCCATTAAAATTAGAAAAATAACACCACATAGCTACTGCAAAAGTACAGTAATTTTTGTGTATATACATATACGAGTATGTAGTATACTGATTGTTGCTACTGGACAGGGCGGTTTTTTGTTAGGACGCACCATGTGAAACCGGTATGAAATTTTTAATATCACAACAGAAAATTGCATGATAGTTGCATCGCCAAGGCATTGCGGCTAATATTCGAGATTATGCGCGAACGACGCACAGGCATTCATAACAAGCCAAACGCAACATCAAACATAAAAAAATAGCGGAATAGTTGCAGTGTTGATAAAAAGTTCAATGATATGAGTGCATAATGCCACACAAACACGGACAATATCTTACATATTACAATTTATAACATTTAACACATGTACGAAGATTTACCATATACCTATTTCAAATAGGTCTCTCTCTGAAAATTAGAACCGTAAGAACAAAATAATCTATAATATTATTCTATGTACAAATTTAATAAAAATCATAACATTATTGTAAAATATAAAAAAGGAATAAAGAGGAAATGATATAAATAAATGATGCAACCGGTCATTTTGACCGGTTCATAGTTCTAGTGTTAAACGAAAACTATGAACTTTCGGCGTAGATAAAATGTTTTTTATAAATTAGGAGACGTGATGAAGAAAGCAGCGACATTTTGTTCAACTTACCCACTTTGTTAAGTAACAATCAGATGTTGTGAAACGTATCATTATTTTAAAATTTGATTTAACAACAAATTCAATAATTATTTTTTAAACACGTCGGTTTTTGCAGTAAAACCAATCAAACGAAATTGAAATAATAAAACTTTAACAATGTTGACTACGTCAGCACATTTATTTATCTCGCTTTGTCTTGATGTATTGTACTAATTCGCGTACATAATAGGGTGGGTCAATAAAAAAAAATAATAAATTGGAAAACTCATAGTTTTGTAGGAAATTTACTGCTCTCCAAAAAAAGTACACTTATAATAAAAAACAAAAATGTATAGATATGTATATCCATATACAATATTCATATATAAAAGAAAGTCGTGTTAGTTACACTGAACAACGGCTGAACCATTTAAATGAAAATTGGTAATAATTATTTGTTTGGATCATAACTTGCTCAGTAATCAGGCTACATTAGCGGCCAAAAATGTAGAAGTTGATGAAATTAATTTCCAGTTGCAACAGTTATTGCCAGGCTATCAAATGTATTTTAAATCATTCGCTGCTATTGTTGATGATAATGAAAACAAATAATTCAGATACCTATACTCGGAATGATATCACATAATCTTTGGTTGAAAATTTTTCAACTATTATAATGTACTATACTATATTTTATGTTGATTTGTGCTTAATTACAAATCAAAGAAAATTACTATCAGTCGTTTTTAAATTTGAAAATAACCCGTGGATTACTTACACCGAAAATAATGTTTTCGTTTGTATTCATAAATACAAATTTACTGTATTGCATAATTAATAATTAAAAGTAATTACTCGTGACTGTTTTGACTAATCTAAAAACGATACACGTAATTTTTATTTATATATAGATACACGGGATAAAGTATATCTGTGGCGCCAAAGTAATCGGAATCGTGTCCGTGTTTCATAATTCTAGGTAATACCACATAACTTAACGAAAGCAGTTCTGTACAGTAACAAATATATTAATATTTAAACTACAAGCCCTTCTTCCAATCGAAATAAACAAAACACTTCGAGTAACGGTCAGGAATTGTGTGCACCAAAAACTTGCCCGTTTCTAAAGAAGATATTATTAAACGACTATCGATTTGTAATTTAGGTGAGAAAATTTCGTAGACATTTTTGTATATATAATTTGTAAATCTTAACATCATTAATAGATGGTTATGTAGCTGCATCACACGGAAACAATCAGTAACCCCTTAAAGTGGGACGCCACAAAATCTGTGTAAATAGTACACGGTATGCAAACAACGGCTTCGTTCGGACCGACAATTCATCCAAACATTTTAAGAGCCATGCAGTCACAACCCACACAAAACATGGTAAGTTTCAAATACAAACAGTTAAGTATACGTACATGCTGGCAGAATAAATTATTTCATATGTTTATACTCTCGCAACATGTTGCTACAGAGTGTAATAGTTTTGTTCACCTAACGGTTGTTTGTATCACCTATAACTTATCAAGTTAGATATAGGGTTTTATATATATAAATGATCAGGATGAAGAGACGAGTTGAAATCCGAGTGACTGTCTGTCCGTCCGTCCGTGCAAGCTGTAACTTGAGTTAAAATTGAGATATCTTTATGAAACTTGGTACAAATGTTTTTGGTACCGTAAGACGGTTGGTATTGCAGATGGGCGTAATCGGACCACTGCCACGCCCACAAAACGCCATTAATCAAAAACAAATAAATTGCCATAACTAAGCTTCGCAATAAGATACAAGACTTTTATTTGGTACAATGGATTACATTAGGGAGGGGCATCTGCAGTTTAAATTTTTTTTAAAAGTGGGCGTGGTCCCGCCCCTAATAAGTTTCATGTGCATATCTCCTAAACCGCTAAAGCTATAGTAACCAAATTAACTGGGAGCAAATGTTTTTAGCACCTCTATTGACGGTGTGAAATCGGGTGACAAGACCGCCCACCCCCCATATAACGGTAATGTTAAAAAACACTAAAAGCGCGATAAACCAAGCACTAAACACGCCAGAGAGATTAAATTTTATCTCTAGGGTGGTATGAGATGACTTTATAGGAACCGCGTTCAAAATTAGTCAGTGGGCGTGGCACCGCCCACTTTAAGGTGAAAACCCATATCTTGGGATCTACTAAACCGATTTCATCCAAATTCGGTATACATATTTTCTTATTTCTATATTACAGTGCGAAAATGGGCGAAATCGGACTACAACCACGCCTATTTCCCATATAACACCATTTCCAATTTCATCTGATTCTTTCAGTTTCTAGTATGCAAATCAAGCAAGAATGATTATATCGGGGTAAAACATTGCGTGAATAATGCAATTAAAGTATGCCACCTTGCGGCCAAAAATTGTCTAATTTGAACCAAAACTGTTCAAACCCCTAAGTACTAAATATGTGGACCCCAGTGCCTATAGTTGACCTTCTACCGAAAATATTAGTCAATCCACAAAGAAATCTCAAACGAGTATACCATTTGACTTTGCGAGAGTATAAAATGTTTGGTTACATCCGAACTTAGCCCTTCCTTACTTGTTTTCATTATATTTTGTTACTTAGTTTTGGTAAATAATTTCTGTTTTTTCACATCTTTTTATTTAATTTATATTAGTCTAGTTCAAGTCTAAGAAATACATTGAATAATTAGCAGCATAAGCTAAAATAGATCTCACGCTATTCAATTATTTTCGTTATAATAATGTATGATTACAATAATACATCATGATTTGCTTGTGCAAAGAACTTAATTTTTTTTAAAAATAATTGTAAAGTATTCTGAGATTTGGAGTACAATTTTCACCTTGGGAAGGTTTCTGTAGGATTTCTAAAACCCGGCTGAATAGCTACACTCAAACTATTAAGGGTTTATTCTAGTTCAACTAAGTCGATGTATATGTACATTTAGTACGTGCCGAAGCAAATATAGAAATAAATTTTCAGAATGTTATTGATATCGTTTTACATAATTGTTGGCTGAGAATAGGATAGCACTAGAAATAGATAGCTTTTTGCAACGTAGCTGTAAACATGTGCAGTGTGCATAGTGAAACGTGCTCCGTAATATCTGAAAATATTACATCAATCGTAATTATTATAAGAAAATATAAAGAATGTACAAAGAAAAGTTCGATTAAATTTTGATATTGAACCATAATTGAATTTCGTGAAGAAAGGTGTGTGCGACGTAATATTGTGAGGTGTAATAATAAAAAGCATAACAAACATTATATCTTTTTTTCCTGAATCGTGTACTTACAAAATGCCACCCAAAAAAGTAAATACAACACAACAGATTTGTGGTTATTGCTCAGACATAATCCGGGATAAAACGCAGCCAAGTATTCAATGTGCGGCTTGTCGACGTTGGTTTCACTCAAAGTGCACCAACCTTTCATCCGATGAGTTTAAATCCATCGCCAACAGCATTAAGAAAAAAGGAACAGTTTGGAACTGCGACTCATGTGCACGTGACATTAGTGTTAAGACATGTGATGTATTGGATTCCGATGAGGATGCATCAGATGATCCGCCACCGTCAAAGGATATTGAAACCTTACTCAAGAGACACTTTGAACGTTTTACAACAAATTATGAACGTGAGTTCAGGGACCTAAAAAAATCAGTTCTAAGTGAAATCAAGGACTTAAGAAAAGAGGTAAGCAAACTGTCAGAACAAAACGTCTCGCTATCAAATCAATGTTCTACCCTGGATGACAAACTTACATCAGTTGAAGACAAGCTAAACGTAGATATGAGGCTGCCTACCAGCCAGGAAGAGTTTTTCACTGAACTGTCGGAACGAAAACGCCGTGAAACCAACGTGATTGCCCTAAATATTCCTGAGTCTGATACAGCTGCTGGAAAGGACCGTTTAGAGATTGACAGAACAAAGTTAGTCACAGCTTTGCCTCCCAGTCTCAAGAATGAGGCCACTGAACTCAAGTTACGTAGACTGGGTCGTCCTACACCTGGACGTACACGTCCTCTTCACATTACCACCCGCTCAGCAGCTTTCCATTATCAAATACAGACCAACAGACGAAAACTCAGGTTTTATTTTCAAGACTGATCTAACTCCCTCTCAACAACTTTATCTGAAAAATTTGCGTCAAGAGCTTGATTCAATCGTGAAGAGTGGTGATGACAGTAACACAATTAAATATATCCATGGTGTCCCAAGAATCGTTTAAAGAAATTTTCGTACGCTCAACGAGCAAGAAGAAAGTATCTTACGTCCACCTGTGCTACCAGAACGTCAGAGGTCTGCGTACAAAACTCTCATCATTTTAAACAGCATTAGCGGCTAAACAGTAAGTTGAAAAGGTGCAGCGTAAATTCTGTAAGTCACTGGCGTATAAACTATCTTCACCAAGTCACATCTGCTCTACTGATGAGGTCTACCAGTGCTACTGTATAAACAAACTGTCTTCTCGTCGACAGGTCGCTGACCTCTGCTTGTTCTACAAAGTAGTCAATAACATCACTGATGCTCATGAGATCCTAAACAGTTTTGAACTCGCCCCTGCTGGTCTTACCCTGAGGCGAAATAGATTACTAAAAACATCGAAATCCATGAAAAATTATGTTATCCATGGTCTTCAGAATAGACTGGCTAATTTAGTAAATTCACTTCAAGGTGAAATTGATTTCTATGGAGGAACATACGCTGCTTTTACCGAAAACACCAAGAGACACCTGCTCGTCTGAATTACATCTAAATCAAGTCTGAATTACATATTAACTTACAATTATTTGAATATTTTCCAGATATTACACTAATATACCCTAGCTACTTTTGTATAATACTTGAATTCTTTATTATATCTATGTATATTGCCGATTGGCGTTTAAATAAATAAATAAATAAAATAGCTTTGAAAGGTGTTGGCAGTATTGAAGCAGACATTGATTGAAATTATGATTAAAGAAATGAACACAACATCTCAAGTTTGTGGTTTTCTCTCCGAGTTAATACGGGATAGAACACAGTCGAGTATCAAATGTGCTGCATGTCGTCACTGGTTTCATTCCAAATGTACTGATTTCACACCTGAGTTTAAAGCTACAGCCATTAGCATAAAGAGAAAAGAGTCTCTCTGTAACTGCACCCCCTGTGTCAATGATATTAGCGTCGAGACATGTGAAGACTTCCGGAAATGTGATGATGGCAAACTACAACATAACCTGTCACCGTCTAATAAAATTTGAGAGTCTCTTCCAAAAGTATTGTGATCGCTTTACTACTGAGCACGACCGTAAGTTTAAATATCTTAAAAATTCACTCGTAAGTAGCGTAAAAAATCTAAAGGATGAGGTAAGCAAGCTGTCTGAACAAAATACACCACACTCACTAATGAATGTACTGCCCTTAATGACAGGCTTACATTAGTCGAGAACAAGTTCAACATCAAGCTCAACACCAAACTAAACCTACCCATGAAAAAAGAAGATATATTCACGGAAATACCTGAACGGAAACGCCGTGAAGCCAACGTTATTGTACTGAACATTCGTGAATCAGACAAAGCTGTGGGTAAACACCGTTTAGAGGATGACAGGGCGAATTTAGTAGCTGCTCTGCCTCCTAGCTTCATGAGTGTTGCCACTGAATTCAAGTTACGCAGACTTGGACGACATACAACTGGAGGTTTACGTCCTCTGCACGTCACTACTCTGTTTTATCTGAACGACTAACCAGTTCGACACTGTTTGCTTCACTGAGTCTTGGCTTCACTCATCTATACGTGATGGTGAAGTCATTGATTCAACTTATAACATTTACCGTAAAGACCGTATATCTTCAGTTAGAGAACAAGTGCGTGGTGGTGGTGTTTTCATTGCCTGGAAACGTTATCTCCGTACTAAACCAATCTAATTGCACACAATGATTTGAAGCAAATTTTTATCCGTGTCAAGGGTGCCTCACGAGACATAATCATTGGCTGTGTCTACATACCTCCTCAATCACCTTACGAGACCTTTGATAACCACCTAGACACCATTTCATTCATTATGTACAAATACCAGGCATTCAACTTTCTGATAATCGGCGATTTTAACCTACCAAGCAGCTCACCTCGTTTGGATACGCCTCGCTCAACTGTGCTCAACGCAATTATATTCTCAATGCTCATTACTCTTCTCTTGACTTATGTTTCAGTGATATTGATTAATCTCCAGAGCACTCACTTGCACTGGTCTCAAATAATAATAAATATCATCCTGCCCTGGATATCACGCTCAACTTCCGGCCTGGACTGGTCCCAAAGAACTCTTCTTCCTACCTATTCGAAATGGCTAACTGCGCTGAGCTCAATACCTTCTACCTTG